ATATATATATATATATATATGAATTGAACAAAAGTCTTTGCTGAGTGGGTTGAACTGAATAATAATACATGTACTTTATATCTTTCAATCAATAAAATATTTACACATTTTATAGAAGAATTTAAGTTTCATCGAAAATTTTATACTATAAACTAAATAAAAAGTATCATAACCATAACTTTTAAGATAATTATTATATAAAAAATATTAATCTTATATCATTATTTTATATAATCATTAATATATCATATATGATTAGATGAATTAGTTCGTATAATCTTCTACATTATCCATACTTTTTAATTAAATTCTTTTATAAAATTAGATTAATATGTTTATTTTAAATGCCTAATTCAGGTGTATTATTTAATGTAATTTAAGTTTATTTTTACTTCAATTTTCATTGATTCTCTGATTGTTTTTTTTTTTTTTTGAGTGGGTTTTATTGTGAACAGTATACGTTTGAGTATAACTTTTGAATTTTGAAAAATAATACATTTTTCTCTTACAGAAGTGATAAAAGTAATGAACTATTCTGTTAAAATAAATTAAATTAAATATACAATAAATATTTGACAAAAAAATTCCAGGTTCATAATATTTTTATCCGCCGTAATCGAACTTAAGCAAATAAGTTAGACTGCGTTGATAGATACATAGTACAATATATTTATGAGATGGATAAAAATATTGGGATACGTAACAATTTAAAAACATCATGATACATTTTTTATTGTTCTCACATGTACTTCTTTCGAAAGTAATCGTGTTTGAGATGTTATTGGGTATTAAATATGAACATCTCTTCTGATGAAGATAAAATTACTGTATTATATATTTAGTTTGATTGAAATACGTTAAACGTTAGATGCATGCACACACAATTTTATATCAAAATTTATTGTTAGATTTAAAGTTTTTTTTTCATATAGATTATATTTAGTTACAAAGTTTATAACACATACAATTTTATATCGAAATTTACAGTTGGATTGTTTCTTTTGTATAAACCATATTTGCGGAAATTTATAACAAATATATAAATATATCAATGATCAATAGATGATGATCACAATTTAAAATATATACTTATGATCATAATAAATAAGTATTATATATCTTTATCCCGAATATATCTCTTTACTATGATTCGTGAACATGCCACAAAATATACAGTTTCTCTGTCCAAATTAAAATATTACAGGAAAAAAAAATGTCATTCAAAACAATAAAGTTATCAATAGAAAACTACAACAAGTAGCACCTTAAACATATAAGAGTTCTAACAAAACTATATTCGACCCCTAGCTACCTACATTAGAAATAGGCTTTGACGAGCTTGAATTTAGTTTACGAAAAAAAAAAACTATTAGATTTGAGTCTGACATATGTTAATTTATTGCAGGTATTTTTAAAGTTTAGTATGTCATATTTAAAAGTTTAATTTAATAAAAAAAATTATTTACGTAACCTGTTTTATACGAAGTTTATGGATAATATAATAGACTTAATAAGTATATTATTATTAATAATTCAATGTATCAAATATAAATTATAAATTAATATATAATTCATATATAATACTATATAGGTCATATTAAACCTTTTTTAAAAAATAAAACTTAACCGTTTTAGATGAAAAGATTTTCTAAAAAGTTTAAGTATGATTTTTAATAAATATATTAGACTTTAAATAAATTAGATTGCATAATGTAAAAAATATTGATTGATTGATATCGATAATATTTGCATTTTTGGGCACTATTTTGCAAATATTTTTAATGAATGAATGACAATGAAGGGTGAAAATATCTTGCTAGTAACATATTGGCTCAACCTCGCAAGACCCATGTCTTTGAAAAAATTGTCATTAATCATTATATTTGTAATTTATTTATAAAAATATTTTTTTTGAGGCTTAAGTACCTCTTCAACAATCAAAAGTCTATATATGTGATAGACTGATAGTCGTGTAGAACCTAATTGTGCTTGTAACATATATATCAACCTTGTTTATTTGAGTGCAGGATTTGAATATATGAATCGAATCATTATGACGAACAACTAATAAGGTTCCCTTCACTTATTCACAAATCTGAAGATAAGGGAATCAAAGATTCCACTGAAATAGTAGCAATGCGCGGATTGGTGCTTTGGTCAAGGTACGCTTACTAAAATCAGCAAATTGTGAGCGATTATTCTATATCATTTTTGGATTGCAACAAATAAAGTAAAGAAGGATTGTGAAACAATTAGCCTAATTCATGGGAGATTACAGTTAAGCACTTGTAACGTATAATTAAAAAAATTGAAGAAAATATAAGTATGGATGTAGTTGACAACTCATTTTTTAATGACAATTAAATATAAGTAGTTAATATGTTGAATCCAATATCAAGTCGATCGAATAATATTCGAGTTTGATTTTTGGTGGAAATAATCCTTAGTCAAATTTTACTTACCTCTTGACCAAACCAAATTAATTTGAGAAGAAACTTTAAAACACTTGTGCGAAACAAAAAAAAAAAAAAAACTTGTGAATTCATGTATATTATTACTTCAAGTTCTCAATTTCTACGGTGGATTTACCTAATGGGTCATTATAGCAATTTATAAGTTAATGTAATTAGCTTGTATTTTTATTTGACCAAAATAATAATACTTGTTACAAAGTTTATTTTAATAGTTGTATTTTATTTTTGTTATAGGAATTAGAGGGTTGTTAGGGTAAGAGAACTTCTCAATTATCACATCCGGACTTACCTAATGAATTATTATAGAAAATTATAAGTTATTGTAACTAGCTTATATTTTAATTTGACCAAAATAATCTTATTTGTTACAAAGTTTATTTTATTTTTATAAGAATTAGAGGGTGACTAGGGTAAGAGAGTTAAAGATGTCTCTCACCATAGGAAACAAATGTTCACTACTAAAAATGTTATATAGTAATACACACTCTATAATGACACAATATTTACTATTAAAAATTATTTTTACCTACACTATGGATAAAATATATGTTCGTATATTGTTAAAAAAAACATAGGTATAAGTTGTAGTGACACACAATATATGTTGTTAAATCTTATTTATAATCAATACTAAAATTATGTATAGCTATATGTTAAATAGATTTATGCCTACATATTTTATACTTATAGTGACACATTTTATATATGTAACATTTTTTGTGCTTACATTATTTTTTAAAATGAATGCTTGAAACATTTGTTTATCTCTTTTTTCCTCATTTTTTGATTTGTCCCTTGACCTCTTCCCCCGTACTTGTATCTCACACTCAAATTCTAGAGACTTTTTCCATCCCTTTCTTCCTTATCAACCAAAAACCCTAAGCCCCATAATCTCAAGAACCAAATTTGCATTTTTAAATATAAACATAGATAAAGTTGGAGAATATATCATTTTGGCTATATTAAACTTTTGTTTTTTTTTTTTATTTGGGTTTTACATTGAAGCATAAACTATCCACCTATCTTAGTTGTTGTTGCTTGTCAGTAATACCATTGTTAATTGACAAGAATCTTCTTCTCTTTCCTATTTGTGGACTTGAACTCCTCCCTCCTTAAAACTTGTAAAAGGAAATGATTTTTTTTAGGGATAAAAAGATACTTGGTGAACAATTAATTGAAGTTATCTGGACATCCCCAATGTGGAGATTTCTAGTGGGAGAAGAAGTGAAACGAACACAAACAAGAAGGGGTGTTTGTTCGAAGAGATCAAATAGATTAAGAAACAACATTTTTATCCTCCAATCTCTCAAAGTATGTTGTATGCAACGGTAGAGTTTAGCTTGCCAAGCACATTCACTTTGACACCACCATCGATATGAACCTCCATTGGAAAAGTTATCATGTGGGGTTGTAAGCTAAAGAACCTTCATCGTCGATATGTTGTCTCCCACTCTCTTGCGTTTGGTGTGGCAAGATCCCATGCCCAACCCTAATATGCAGGAGTCTCTACACAACTCATGCCCCTCGCTACTCCATTAGTACTTGATGTGATTTTAACCTGAGACAATTTTCTTTTCTCATGTCTAGTGTCATTCAAATAATGTTCGACGTGATTCCAATATGAGACAATTCTCTCTCCTTATGTTTAGCGCCATTCAAATTATGCTTGACATGATTCCAACTCGAGACAATTCTCTCTCCTTATGTTCGACATGATTCTAACTTGAGACAATTTTCTCTCTTCATGTTGGACGTTACCAATCTTGTGCCTAACATGGATGAGATAAAACCACTGTGCCTGACTCCTTAAAAGGGTGTGCTTAACATAATACCACTTCTGCACCTATGCAAAACTCGATTTCGATCCTAGGCCTTCTGAAACTCGGTCAATTTCAACATGCAATGCACAAAACAACATATAGGCATCACAAACAACTTGGAAACAACTTCATTTACAACATGCAACCACTCTAAAGCAAGGATCATCATATTCAAACACATAACCACTTTAAGAGAAATCCCAACTAAAAATCATCAACCTAATGAATTTAACAATAACAACGCGAGTCTAGTAATTATAGGTAGCAAAAATTAACGTCCATTGAACACAATAAACGAAGTTAAGGTTCATCTAATACGTAATTGACTAATTTTTTAAGTAATGTATTTTATATTGTTAAAATAAATTTATAATATTTTAATTTATACTTTACAACGTTAAATATTTTAAGTATGAAATGTTTATCGGTTGAAATTGAAAGCGAGATAGTATGCTTTATGAGTAGTTAAATGTAATTTTTTATCTTTCACCTTTTATTATTTTAATAAAAAAATATTTTCATCTAATTCAAGCTCACACAAACATATACGAGTCTTTGAAGACCGAGTAAAATATGTATATGAAAAAGTATATATTTAACCCTTAAAAAAAGTTGAAGAATAAAAAATAATAATCCAAGTGCACTTAGAATTTGAACGCCCGTGGAACAATTTCCTTTCAAGGCAGGGAAGGTCATAGATTACCATGACCTGACCCCGCTGATTGGCCTACACAACCCAAATGATGTTTCAATTCATCCCTTTAATTAAACCCCAAGCTATTATGTACCAACATTTTTTCTTTCTACACAGAACAATTCATATCAACCAAATTCTTACTATTTTAAACTAAAATTGAACACACAGAGAGAGAGAGAGAGAAAGGTTTAAGGTGTTACGTCACTTACGTGCCCTTCCAAGCTGTATTATATTAAAAATAATAAATAAATAGAAAATCATCCTCTGAAGCAGAACTTCAGTCTCTTTCTATTTCTTAATAATTTTCCGTTTTGTTTTGCATCCCACTCACTGCAGTTTGCTTGCTTCCCCACCAAAAAGAACCCTCACGCTCCCCAACACACTTCTTTTCCGTTACTCGCCCCAAAACCTAAACTCTACTTCCACCCATCTTTTATTTTATTTTATTACTCAGAGATTTATTTATAATAAAAATATAAAAATATGTGTAATTTAGTGGTAAGGATTGATTAGCGTATCTTGTGTATGCAGACGCGTTAAATCTTATTCTTTGACGTGTCTCTAACCTAACAAAAAGAATAGTCACTACTATTAAAAATAAAAAAATAGTGAGAATAACAAAAACAAGTCATCATTGTAAATCGTTAATACCAGTATAATAATAAAACTGGTGTGTGTGTGTTGGCTTTGTTCTTCTAGAACACCACCTCTGCCACGCTACAAAGACGCGACGCAAAGGCGAAGAAGAAGAAGCTAAACGACGCCGCGTCATGGAAGACGAAATGTACGGCGTGGCCACGACGGCGGAGTACTCGGAAAAGGCGCTGATGACGCCGGAGAACATATTTCCGGCCGAGTATCACAGCTTCCTAATGTCCTCCGGCGGCCGGATTCCGATGTTCGGATCCGACGAGTTTCTCTCCGCCGCCGTGGCCGAACCCTACCCGAGCGTCGCCGCGCCGGAAATTCAGCGCCAGCACGACGCCTCGTCTCTCATCAAAGCCAGAATCGCTTCGCACCCTCACTACCCTCGCCTCCTCGAAGCCTACATCGATTGCCAGAAGGTAATTAAATAAATAATTATTCGGTTATTATTTGTTATTTATTTATTTGTTTGAAATTGATAACTGTTGGTAAGAAATGCGGTTATGAGAAACGGTTTTCAGGTGGGAGCGCCTCCAGAAATGGCGTGTTTGTTAGAGGAAATCCGATTAGAAAACGACGTTTGCAAGATGGACGTTGTTTCCACGTGCGTTGGAGCCGATCCCGAACTCGACGAGTTCATGGTCCCCTCTCTCTTCCCTTCTGCGCACGCACGTTTTTATATATTTTATTTTTATATATATTAATTAATATATGCTTTGTTTTCACATTTACATAATAATGCAACTTTTCTCGCTGATTTATTTATTTATTCATTCATTTATGTTTCAGGAAACCTACTGTGACATGCTGGTGAAATACAAATCTGATCTGACGCGGCCTTTTGACGAAGCCACCACCTTCCTCAGCAAGATCGAAACGCAGCTTAGCGATCTCTGCACTGGTTCTTCACTTCCAACCCTTTCTGGTTAGTATTAGTTACTAGTTGGTTTCTGTTTTTTGTTTGTTGATATCTGTGCCACTCTCTCGCTTTAGCATTAATTTGTGTAGGGAGAAAACTAAAAGAGAGGTTTACTAGATAGACCCTTGATTGGTTGAGACTTGAGAGCATGAATAGAACTAGAACTCGTATGATAATCGTAATATATGCTTGAAAATAATACGCGAGGTGCAGCTTTGGAAGATAGGTAAGGGAAAAGAAAACCCTAATAAACCCATTGGGATTCTCTCTCTATTTTCCATTGGTTTATGCAAAACTGCAGCACTGCTTTCTGCAGTTAATGTGGTGTAACTTTAAAAACCCCTTGTTTGTGGGTGCTTTCAACGTGAGATTGCAACCACGCACGCTTCTTTCGTTGTTGGAGAAAGAAAGTTTGAATTGTTTTGGTCATTCATGGGCTGCCATGTGTTTAGATCTTTAGCTTTGTTTTTTTTATTTTTTATTTTTTTATTGCCCTTCTGCTTGTTCTTCTCAGTTTCATCTTTATATGAGTTTTTGAATTAATTGCTAGGATGTATGGACCTGTCTCTTGGTTGGAGTTGTTCTTTTCTCACGCGCTTTGTTTACTTTTATTTTCTTTATGCATCCATCACGTCAGTGAATTTCCAGTTTGATGAACATGGGACTTTGCATCTGGCTTTCCATTTTTGTTCTTGCAAAAGTGTTTAGTGTTGTAGACCCGATACTTGAGACTGACCTAAGAATAGATAAATGATGTTTTCCAAACACCCAGTGGACTTAAAGGGGGCATTTTTTCGTTCTCACAACTGCCACCTCCCTTTAAATGGTCTCTTGTATTCTTATTTTTCTGTTTTTGTGTCTTCCAGCTCTTGACTGAGATTTATTTAAAAGTCTTCTACAGACAAGTTAGTAATGGTTCTAGCCTCAAAATACTTGGTTTCTAGTTACTATGAGTTATGATAATGACGCATGACTTGTATTTGATCCTGTCCTCGTTTGGGGACATTTTTCTTCTTGTGATAATGACGTTGTTATCTTTTCCTTCCCTCATTAACTCCTTTGTTTCCCTTATTAACTTTGGCCGTTATCAACTTTTGGAAGTTGACTTTTCTCAAACAAACTTGTGCACTTCATCAAGACAACTTTGTGTAATTTCTTGTTAGTTGTTGGCTGGTATTTTAAACGTGATGGCGTTGGTTTTATTTTCCTGATGACAAAAACTAGCTATACGGATGACTTTTGGGTCTTCTAAATCCTACTTGTTATCTGAAATTCACGCGTCTGTCATTCTTTAGATCATATAACATGTGATTCAACACTATGAGTTAATGCTTCAGGTAAACACACTCCAAATGTCGTGGTATCTTATCTCTTTATCTCTTTTTAGGTGTGTCATGTATAGATGGAGAATTTTCTTCTTTTTATCCTTGCTGTATACACGAAATTTGTGGCTTTATATGTCTTATAATGTTGTACCTTCCAATCTGCCCATTTATAATATTGGATTTAAGGATCATATATAACTCGAGTACTATATTAGCAATAGCATATATAATGATGTTTGTTTTCATACTTTAAAGTATTCACTGCTGAGCGTGGGTGAAGCAGGTTGTTGATATTTTAAGGTCACCTTGGAATTATCTAATAATATTGTCCTTCTGGAGCTAAAGTAATACTACTATTAGATTTTTGCAATTTTATACAATAGAAAGAACCTGTATTAAGAAAAATTTATAAATGAACCTAGCATAATTGTGATTAGGTTTATTCTGTTTGACCTTACTTTCAAGGCATTAAATTCGTAAAGTTCCAAATTGTGTTTAATAAGGGCTGAATGCATTACCCAAGTAGAGGGCTCAAACTTGGTGGAAAATGATGGCGTTTTCATTTTTTTTTTCTCATTGCAAACAAAGATAAATATTATGAAGTAGATGTAGATATGGTATGACTGATTTCTTTTTGGAATTAACCAATTTGCTTGGGAAACTTACCCTTGCCATATTTCATTTATGCTATAACCCAATTGCGCACTATGCTGAGGCTGGCATACTGTGGGTTGTGGTGATTAATAATATTTTATTTGAAGCAAAACCGTTGTAAATGTGTAACGTATGGTCAGTTGGGTTATGGTTGGCAGCTAAGATAAATTTATAGTTTATGTTTGGAAGTACAGATTACCTTTTAAGGAGTGATGCTTTAATTTTAAATGGATTTGTGTTGCATGCTTTGATGGATTCTCCTAATCATTCTTTTTGCAAACGCATCTTTCTTGAACGTGTGTCTGAACAGGACCTGAAATTCCTTGATTTCTTTCTCCTGTGATCTTTTGATTTTTTATTTTCCCTTGTATTGCAAATTGCAATCGCTGCAGGCATCAAATTAGGTCTTATATTTATAGAAGCAGATTTCCGGTCCCAGCTTGCATTTAAATAAGCTGCCAGTTTATCAATTTTATGTTTTATTCTCAGCATTGGTAGGGCATTCAATTCGTTTGGGTTGATTTAAATTTACTGACATCTTGAAGCTGATCTTGCTTTTTTTTTTTTTTTTTTTTTTTTTTTTTTTTTTTTTTT